ACCATAAAACTTGGTCTACGAAGTGCTCTTTGCATCTTGTTCCTTGCTCTCTATCTTTCTTCTGTAGGAACTTCTATTTACTTATGGGAAAGAGACAGAGAGCAAGAAAGAAGACGCAAAGGGCGCATCGTAGACCGAGCTTTAGAAAACGACGACGAGCTTGAAACGAGAGACCGTCGCGGAGATCAGACGCGGATTTATCTTGACTCCCAGTTCGGGTAAAAGGGGAGAATTGAAATGACATCTGGTTAAGCGAAATTTCCAACGCGTATCCCGTATTTTCTCGTTCCGCGTATCCCAGTTGAGAAGCGCTGCCTCGCATGTACGACGCGAACGCATAATTCAGGGGCAGGCGGCGCGAGGCAGGAGCGAGAGCGCGATCCTCCCACGCGGCTACAGAGCGGCTACGTAACTCACCGTTTGCCGGGATGAGGATGTGACGTTACTGTCAGATTTGTCGATTCGTTATTTCGCTGCCGCCGCTACCGGCTGCTTCATTCGCATTATCAGAGTATGTAGATGACACACCGGCGGGTCGGGAGGGCATCAATCGCATTCAGACCGAGCCCCGCAATTCGCCGTTATTGCGGCATTGAAGTCACATGCTGCACGGCGAAAGGAACGCAAAACGCCGCGCGACCTCTAACACGCCGCAATTTCGTCCAATAGAGAGCCCATTGCGCCGATTTACGATTCGGCATCTCGCTCGTTTAGCTCGCGGCTTATATTTGGACACGCTCCTTACGGGCGTCTATTGACGGCTAAATTTTTCCTACGCAACGGGTTGACGAGCGGACGAATTGTCGCCGACGGCAACCGAAATAGCAGCGGGCGATCACATTATGACGGCGCGATCGGCCTCGGAGACTTTGTTCGTCGCGCGCAAAAATTCTCCCGCCGAGAAGCCTCGATTTCGCGCGACGATCTCGACGTAGCTCCCCCTCCCCTCCCTAGTGGCTGACTTATCGGTTCGGGACAATATTTTGTGTCTTAAGTCTTTGTTTAAGATAGCAGTTGGTCCGCAGATCGCCGGATTCTCAGTGGCCATATTAAGGAATCCCTACATAAATTTATTTACTGAAGAGAATACACTTCCTTATAATTTTATTTAACTAAGTAAGTAATAAGTGTTAATTTTGAGCGCGCGAAATTAAGACAAGTATACACAGAATATTAAAAACACAGAGATATTATTTATTTCCTATTTTTCTTATTAATGCTTTATTTATGTCAATCGAGCTAACAGAGGTGAACATATAATAAGGAAAATGGTATATAAATAAGTATTATAATAATATTTAAATATGTGTATACATATACCGCAGATATTATTATAAATTGTAAATTTCCTATAGCTGTGTCTTCAAAATAGAGTAGTCAATAATTCTGAGATTGTTGTATAATGTCACAGCCTTAATATCACAGTAGTTTTTCATTGAAATTCTGTCGAAAATGTCCAAAAAATCGTAAAAGTTTTAAAGAAATTAAAAGTAAAAGATTAAAAATAGGACATCAATCTCAAGGAATACATACAAATAGCGTTATCTTTAGTTGAGAATATCTCAGTTTTCATATGGTTAATCATTTTCTAATTTCATAGACGTATGTAGATAGTATTTCCATCAATACGCGGCTAAAATTTAAAAGGATTCCTAAGAAAATAATTTGACAGACCAACCATTTTAAAGTAACATACAATGAATGTCTTGTGCCTGGAGTCTTAATTAGAAAGCCGTTCTACTTGTGATTGATGACAAATCGCTATATATAATAGAAAATAATAATAAAAAGAGTAAACAAAATTATAATTTATACAAAGATTAGGGTGATAAAATTGTGTTTTAAAATTACAAGTCAGCCACTGCTGAGGCCTGTCTACTCGTGACGTACACGCTCTCTCTCTCCCTCTCGTTTCTGAGAGGCTCGATACGGCACGATGATGCCGATGACTTCTACTAGAGTTATTTAGCTATTATCTTGGCTCGCGCGCGTACGCGGTCCGACCGTGACGAATTCTGGCGACCGTCGCTGAGACATAAGGCAACGTATCTCGGCATCGATAAGCGCGTCGTGGAAATATTACCCGGAAAACTGATACGTCGCCAGACGACAATTCGCGCGATTACTCAATATATCAGAATACATTTAACGAAGTCACGAGTCACGCCGCTTTATCGCGACGCGGGTGTTTGCTCGCGTAATCATATACATAAATTCCCGTCGCTAATGACACAACGACCATTAGCGCGACTAGGCCTTCAAGGCCTTGGCCGCTTGGCTCCCCCATTTCGATATCGCTTTATCCCTTCCTACTTCCCGTCGCCGATTAAACCACCTTACGTCCGCGATTGTGATTTCGAGGTTTCCGCTTACCGTGCGCCGTGATTGCAATCGCAGACTGTGGGTCCACAGCCACGGGAGGTGTCTACTATTCACCGTGAAGTCTCGATCATTCGTCATTGCTCTTAATTCTCCGACAATGACGCTTGATTTGCAAAGCCGGGCGCGAATAACGATTCCAACATGCTTCGTAAGATTTTTTTATCGTGCGACCAATATTCTAAGATTTCTATCACTTTCTTAATCAAACATTCGATCCCGTCGAACTCGGAGTCCCTGTAGTAAGGAGTCTGGACTGGCATTAAGCTCCATAGTATATTGGAATAAGCCTGTAGAAATCTGCGACCCGCTGGAGAAAAGAATAGATAAAATAGATTGGAGGAACATCCGTTTCTTTTCTACATATTATCTATGACAAAGGTAAGGATATGTGCGTCCTTTTCTATTTACTCGAATAGGACACCGCCACTCCTTGATGATTGCTCACTCCAGTATACTATATAGAGCTCAATGGAACGTCAGCGCTATGGCCGCCATGTTTGAGTTAATACCCAAAGTTCACGATCAAAAGGCGCGAAATGTTCAAATACTATTAAAATAGGTGCGAACCAAAATACTTATTTTTGATGACTTGGTAATGACTTTTCTTATAGCGCGAATGTAACGGATATTTCTTTTTCTTAACAAAATGTCATTATTTTTTTTTTTAATGGAATTCATTCGAGTGAAAATGGAATTCACTTATGATTGAATATATAAGAATCTTATTTGTGAAGATAATGACATTTAATACTGCAATAGATTAATATAATAGATTAATATAACCCACACATAAGTCAAGAAATTGTACTGATTTGTACAAATATCACTACGCATTTATATACTTATTTATTTATTATTTTTTTATCTATTTACTTTTCAAAAGATATTAATCACAGTATGAAACACACCGACTCACTTTTCTTTTAACAAACCACGTCGACCTCTTGGCCAATTTTTGCTTGTGTTGTCACTCAGCTGATAACTTTGACATTTATCCTAAGCTTACCGGAAGCTCGCGCAAACATCGCGGTGCCAATCAGAAATCAGACACGCAGTATCCATCAGACTCTTATTATAGACACTCTACCAAAGTCGTACTAAAGTATTCGCAGGTTCTGCGAAATAATTGGTCTTCATTAGCATGACAGGAAGGCGGAAGAAGGGATTCCGCTCATGAGACGCGCTCGTGTGCCGATGATGCAACTTCCAATCATCATCGTGTCGGATCGAGAGGCGTTCAATTACTAACGCGTTCGCCGAAAAAAGCAATCGCATCGATGCCGCGTTCCGAGAACTATTATCTCTTCGATTTATGAAAGGATAAATATGTAAAGAGAATTACGCGCGATATACGAGGCGCGAGCTCTCCCAGCGTCATCGCGACGTCGCGGGAAAGAAAGAACGCTTCCTCGCCGCGAGGCGCCGCGCGACGGAAATAGGCGCGGCGGCGAATTCGTGCCAGCTGCGCGTCCACGATGCCGCCGGAAGGTGTCTAATCGGACAGGAACGTCCTCCTCCGGGGATGCGCGGGGTACGTCGCCAAAATGCCGGCGCCGAGGAAAGACGTTCGCCGGAACATAGGATGCGGCCGGCCCGGAGGATATTACGCGTGCGACTCGTCCTCTGCGTTACGCGCCTCTCCCGCCGCCGCGACATTTCCAGTGCCCGAAATAAGCACGGAGAAAGAGAGACGCACGTGTGGGTTACGTGTGGTGGACTCGCTCGGCGGAATTTCAACGCGAATCGGAACGGATTCATCGTGGCGGGTTGCGCGCAAATCTGGCCCGGGGCGCAACCGGCGTGTTTACTTACATAACAATGACGTCACACTGAGGCACCTCGGCGACGCAAAAGGACGGAGGAAGAGAGAGAGAGAGAGAAATGAAAAGAGGAGACAGTCGTTCGAGAGGACGTTAAGATGAATATTTTCGCGGCCGACAATTCCCTCAGATTGACGGGTGGGCGTACCATTGACGTTTTCGCGCGCGCTTTTAGACACGGCACAATAAATTCTCGGCCGCGCTCTAAACGACGCTTTATTTGCCCGGTATTTGTGTGACACGCGTGCATTTCGCCGACACCGGTCTGACTCGTCGTAATAATTCCAACATCAAATCACGCAAGGCAACGCGGGTCGTCATAGGATTCTCGTACGCAGCGGAGGACGAGGCGCCTATTTCTGGCGCGTGTAAAGACATCGCGTATCTCTTCTCGGGAAGAGAAGAGATATCTCTCTCTCTCTCTCTCTCTTTTGACTTCGCGATGAAAATAATGCTGCGTAGTCGCTCGAGGATAAGCTCGTGAGAGAAAGAGAGACCCTCTCGTTCGCGCGAGACGCCAACTTAAATAGACCACTTCCCCGTGGACGATCTTCAACCATTTATCCGCGCCGGCGTCCGGCTTGATCGAATTACGGCGGTAATCGGTTAAACAATGTCGTATCGGCAACTGGACTGCGACCGGGAGGACAAATTTAAACAAGACCACGTCTCTCTCTCTCAGAGAACATGCTTTGACGCATGTCGAAACAATATAAATAACCGTCGTTCGAGTCCACCGTCCGCTCTTCTCCGTCGTATTTCGACCGTCGCATCGTGGGCGCCGCGCGCGCGCACCGTTGCATCACACACGACTTCCGACGATTGCGCATTTCCCGCGTTTCGCTCGCAGAATAATTTGCAATAAATCGCGAAGGTGGTGAAGGGGAAGTGTGCGCGAGTGCGACCCTCTAATTCGAGAGTCAACCTGCGGGGGTGGACGACGACACCGGCGGCGGGGTCCGTCTGTCGCGTCGTTCAAACAGATCCCGTGTTAAACCTTTCGGTTAGCGGTCAGATGGCCGGCAGAGACGCACGGCTCACGTGAGTCGCGACCGCGCTCGCGTCTGTTTGCTCTTCCTATTTTCGTAAGTCGCACGGTATATAAAGGAGTCCGTCCTCGGGACGGAAGACGTTGCCGAAAGATTTGGCAGCGGGAGCCGCGCTTTTCTACGCCGCGCGCGGCCCGTATAGATCGAGAGAGCGTCAGCTTTCCGGGGAGAGCGCGCGCGAGGTGGATGAGAAGAAACGGGGCTCGATCGTCGTCGGGGATTCGTCGCGCGGATAATCGTCGCCGGAGGCCCGTTTTATTCGGCCGGGCGCGCGCGTCTCGACGTCGATTTTCGCGTTCCTCTGCTGCCGCCGCGAGTCTCAAGATAGACTCCTCGTCCTCGCTTCTCGTCTTCTTCTTCGCCATCTTCGGAGCCAAGAAGCGCGATCGTCGTGTGAATATGAACGGTGGGACCTGAATCACGCGACGGAGACGTCGCGGCGCTCTTGGTGACCACGACTACGCCCCGTTTCCCGAAAGGAAAGGCAACTCTTCGTGCGCGCGCGAGGTGGTGGCCCGTCGTCGTGATTCCGTCGCTGTGATCCGCGGCCCGTTCGGTCACGTGCGCGCGCGTGGTCCTCCGATCGATTCCGCCGGAGATTTCAATTGATCGAGTCGATTGATCGAGCGACGCGCTGCACGTTGGGTGTCTCGCTCGCTCGCTCGCTCGGAGCGGACGCTAAGTAGCAATCACCGTCGATGGACGTCGGCCGTTCGTGCACGTGGTGCGCGTGACGTCGCTCGTCCACACACACACGCTCTCGCGAAGCTCCCTGTGTTGTGCTCGCGTGTGCCGTTCGCCGAGGATAGATTCGAAGGGAAGGCGGCTTCCACGAAAGAGCGAAGATGGGGAACACCGATAGCGCCCACGACGTGGAAATGAGCTCCCTGTCGGTCGCGACGGACGACCGTCCCCACATTAGGGTGAATACGTTATGCGAGTTACACTGGTTTGCTTCGAACGGGATGACTCACGCGAGGAGACGACGCCGGTCGCGTATGATTGTTACTTACTTAGCAGAATTCATTCGGTCGACAGAAGTCGTGATATCGCAAATCCCGATCCCGTCACCCGTCGACACCGACTTCGAGCCGCGTCTCTCAGGCGGTACTTGTGCTTGTGTATTCTGTAACTGTTCACAATAGTATCATTGCGTCGTCGTTGTGCAGCTTTCTTATTCTGTTATATATGCATTATGTATTATGTCTGCGCGACGATAACGAAACTCGTCGTTAAAAGTTACAGAATAGGCCTGCTGCATCCCTATTCTACAACTTTTACCCCCCCAATGATTCCACCAATTCCGGTTAACCGGATCGACCGGTTAATTCAACGGAGTTGACCAATTATATAGATCAGTTGGCTAATCGAACTATGCGATTGGTCGATTCCGTTGAATTAATTAGTTCGGTTAGATTAACCGAAGTTGACGGAATCGGGGGTTAATGGTAGCCTTGTTAGTTTATCGATAACGGAATGCGTTGCCTCGTTAGTTTATCGGTAACGTATTGCGCATCTTCGTGATACATTTTGTCCCCATGAAGATTTGCTGTTTGACAAGACGCAAACGTTAAAAGTTTCAGAATCAAGGGCGTCGTATTCTACAACTTTTAACGATAGTGTCGTTATCGTTACGTCGTCGTTACGCAAATATAATGGTGGAAAAGCCTGCGTAACGACTACATAACGATAACGACGCTATCGTCAACGGTTATAGAATGCAAACACAACAGGGTATGCTTTGTAACGTCGCAACGACGAATGTCACTGACTTAGAGTAGTACTCGTCGCGCAGCTTTTCTATCACATATTATGCGCAACGACGACGTAATGACAGCGAAATTGCCGTTAACAGTTACAGAATATAGGCGCAGGATTCCACTTGACGCTCGCGACGATCGCGCGGGCGTCACTCCGTTTCCGTTTAATGTCCAAGAGAAACGAGGATGGAACGATGCTCGCAACAAGTTGAGGTGGAACCTGCCCCTTATCGGCCGAAAAATTCGGAAGTCCCCGGTTTCTCGAGCATTTCTCCCGCGACGGGAATTAAGAGACGCGGGATTTTATCGACGGCGAATTACATCGTAACACCGTTAAACAGCTCGAACAGGTTGCAAAGCGGCGGCTCAATCAGCATAAAATCGCGCGCCAGTAAACAAAACAGATCGTTCGCGTGTGTGCATCCGATGGGAAGAAGGAGGGAGGGGAGAAGGGAGGCTATGTATAATTCGGGCGGCTTGTAAAACTGACCTATCCCAGTCCGTCTGAAAGAGAAAATTACGAGCGGTCGTTGGCGTCCGGATGCATCCAAAAATGTCAATGTATTCGCCAACGCGCTCTTATTTCGAACTACTCTAACACGAATGTCTCTAATGAGAGTGTGTATATGTGTGTATATATATATGTGTGTGTGTGTGTGTGTGTGTGTGTGTATATATATGCGGCAATTAACTCGGTTCCTCGACACTTCCTGTTGCAGAGAACGCCGATGCGCCCGATGATAGCGGAATACGAGCCAAAGAAGCACGGCGTGAAAACCGAACTCTCAGACGTGGTGCTTGTCAAGTAAGTCCCGAAACTCCATTAACGAAATCAACGCGAACGAATGATGGTTCAGCGATAGTCGAGCAATTCGCTATCCGCTACCACGACCGATCATCACCATTGCTTTCTTGCCAAACCCAAATGCTCAAGCAAACGTGAGTGAGAAAACATCACGAGGATCATATATTGTGCATTTTTCATTAATATTGTGTATTCTCTCTCATTCTTTGTGCTATTTTACTATGATTACATTAATTCACTCACTGTTGTTGTTCATTCCTCTCTCTCTCTCTCTTTCTCTCTCTCTCTCTCTCTCTATCTCTCTCTCTTTCTCTCTCTCTTTTGTTGTTTCGTTGTTTTTATCGTTAAAAAGAGAAACTACTCTAATCGTTAGTACCACACTAATCGTGCATACCGCCTGATCGCTGACGTAGAATTCGTAGCGTAGCTGGCACCAGGGATGCTTGACGACCGCCTGCTGAATCTTGGACGAGTGCGAGGTTGTTCATTTGTGTGCGTACAGATATGTACCTGCTGCTTATTGTGCAATGTTCTTTCATGCCGTGCGAACGAGAAATTCATTCGATCTGGGACATGCGTTGATGTCGTTAAAAAAAAGGAAAAAAAAAAGAAAGAATCACCGAATCTCGGATCTATTGCGGTTTCCGAATCGCTTCATCGTCTTTTTCTTGCCACCGACCATGGAATCGATTTTCTTCTCTCTGTCCTTTTCTCATATTTGCGAAGAAAGACAATTATAACGGATTCATAGCGCATGTCTACAATCTCTCTCTCTGCAAATTTCCATCTCGATTTTGCGATCGAACAACGTACGGACGACGGAAAGTTTTCTCTCTTTCTCTCTCGATATTACGCACGATAAACGATCAATGTTGACTCATTGAAGGCATCTCAGAGTCATCGGATAATAATAAAGATCGGATCTTCACGCAAACGATCGGCTTTCCTCGTCGATCGATTTAGCGGAGCGGCAACGATATCTTTGGACCCTTTGCGCTCGAGACGAGACTTCTCTCTGCTGCCCGTTTCGTCCGGTTTCGTTCGCCAAAACCCGTCGCGACGCGCGCCGCTCTTCCCGTATGCACGTGCGAATTTTCCCGACCTTGAAACAGCTTATGCAAATCGCTCGCGCGCTCGGTTGATCTTTGACACCTTCGCACATATGCATTTACGCGTTTCCGAGTTTCACGCGCTTATTATTCATAGCACCGCCGCGTTGCGCCGATTTCGCCGGGCGGCATTGTGTCTGTACGATTAGTCGCTCACGTGCGCACACATACACACACATACATACACACACAGCAACTTCTAATCCTACTTAACGAATTGTAATGACTTCGTAGGAACAGCCTTCAGTAGCGAACTTCGAAGACACATGCGCTGGTATTATAATAATTAGACGTGAGCGACGTCTTTCGTGAAAGAGATCCGCCGGACAAAGAAAATCCATTACGCCCCGTTAACCGTCAATTTGCATCGCATTATCGTTCTTACGTGCGCGTTTTGTACCTTATAATTTGCGACGCCGAGAGAGTATCGCGCGAGTCCTCCCCAGCGCGGCCTGAAACGCAGCAGAGAAGGAGAATCGTCGCGGTTATCTCGTCGCTGATCGAGAATGCTTCGTGTAGAGGTCATGCGGTATGCAAAAGCAGAATATTTTCCCAGAAAATAGAGGAGATCTGCCTGTCTTTACTGTATAATATGTGCATTTATATGATTCCAGACTTGCGTATAAACTCCGGGCGTAGATTCGGGCTCTATGAAAGTGCTCTGCGAATAACGAAAGAGAACGAAAATGAAAAAAAAAAAAATACGAAAAGACACTAACGTAGAGAAAAAATAGAAAAAAAATACGGTACTGTCGGACCGACGCCTGTGAGACGTTGTTTTTAAAGCTCGACGGAACACACACACGACGACGCGACTTAGACGCGACGAAAAAAAAAAAAACATCATCATCGGACGCATTGCAAAATTCCGTGGCCAAAGCCGAGACATTGGCATCGATTCGGTGATAGATCGCTCGACGTGTGTAGAGAAAAAAAAGTAAAAAATACACGAAAACGAAAAAAGTATATCTATATAGAATAAAAAAAATATATACTCGGCCAAGTGCGAAAAAAGTACGGAAGGCGAAGGAGGCTTGTTAGTCGTCGTACTGCGTCGTGGCGCTGGGCGTCGCGGTGATGCAGTGCGGTGGTTGCAGCTGCCCTCACTATATGCCTGTACCGCGGCGCGTGAACTCTTCGTCACGTTGTAACACGTGACGGACACACACAGACTCTATTCCCGGAGCTTTCTCGACAGAAAGCTTCGCACGACTACGGAGAGAAACTACCGCACCTAAAAAATATGGGTACCTATAATACCTACACACCTACCTTTTTTACGAATTTTTACACGAACAACATATACCGCGTGTACTCTCCCCCTCCACCCTTCTTTCTTTCTCTCTCTTTCTCTCTCTCTCTCTCTTTCTCTCTTTCCCTCTCTTTCATTCTTTCACACATACACACACACACTTACATACAGGACACACGTACATACGTATATACATATACGTACACACAAAAGGATAATTTTAATCACACACGCGTGTCTCTCTTCGAAAGGAAATACGCGAGACGTACGATACAAAGTTGTATCAATTACCAAGACGAGGTGTGTTTGCCTGAATATGTCTCGAGCTGTTGTCGTTAATTATTAACGTAGCCCCTAAAATCATTCGCTTGCTATCTCGTTCGACCTTTCAAAGCGCAGTTGTGCGTCTGCGATCGAGTGCGAATCCAGCGAGCGCGGGAGGGAAATCGGTAACGCGCGGCCGATGGAATGCGCTTATTCGACATATCATTATAGCTAAGCAGTGTCAATGAGGAAACGCTTCGCGCGGTCCCTCGTAAAGTCGCATTTTAGGTTGCAATTAGCAATGACGATCTGCTGAAGAAAAAAGGTGAACATTCAATCCAAGATAACGGTCTCTTTGTGTATGAATCTTTCGATAGTTCTAAAGTGAGCTTTTTAGCAATTTTCATAAAAGAATCGGATTTCCACATAAGACTCGTCGTGCGGCTTACGTCCGCGTGAGACAAGAGACATGATAACGTTGGAAAAGAAATAACGAGGTGATAAAAAATATGAGCGATAACGCTTACGCATTTAGCGTAATAACTGAATTACGTAGCGTCATTGGAATAACTTGACGCCTCCAGGAGATACCGTGAACTCATTATAATGAGGAAATGACGACCACCATTTTCCTTCTTTAAACGCCTTTATTCGTTAAATTAATAAATCATCTCATTCGAATGGAACTCCGTGTACATGTGTGTGTGTGTGTGTGTGTGAGAGCAACTTGTCGTTAATCCAAATAAAAAATCTACGAGTACCTAGGAGAAAATCATTTGAGGAAAAGCGATAAGATACTAGCGAATGGCCGAATGGATCGGAAGTTCACTACACGAGTACACCCAGAATCTCTGTCTCTCTTTCGACGCTTGTTCTTTCCCGGCCTTGCGCGCCTTAATATCGGCATTCTCAGTCTCTCTCTCTACTCTTCTTCCTCCTTTTTCTTTTGTTTTTATCAACGATACGCGCTTTAATGCACTCGAAACGCAGACGTAACGACTTAATAACGAGGTAGCGCGCAGCTCTCTCTTTCTCTCTCTCTCTCTCTCTCTCCCTCTCATCGTCGTTCGCTCTCCGCGAAACAAAACCACCGTCGTTAAGAGAAGCAGACCTCGCGCCGCGGCCTCTGAATGCAACTCTCGCCATATGTCTCGCACCTTGTCTGCATCCCCTCGCTCTCTCTCTCTCTCTCTTTCCGAATCCCTCGGCATGCGAGCGTGCGAGAAAGAGTACCATCTCTCCATTTCGGCTCACTATCTCATTATATACTCCCTCACATCACGCGTCGTGATGCAAATCATCGCCGGGCACGAGGAAAACGCCGCGTACCGTGCGTGAAAACAGGACCAGGTCCCCACGTAACACTATATACTCACGTTATCCACGATCCGCGAGATAAATTATGTATAAACGTGCGGGATGTCACAGACACCGACGCCGCTCCTTTCACCTATGCGCTCTTTGATCAGCTCGTCTCTCAATAGCCTCTTAACGAGAATTCAATCGCACGCGCGCGTTCTCTTCCCGGCGACCTCCCGGGATATTCTTGAGCTTATTTTTCTTTTTCTCACCTCGGATCACCGATGATTAAACCGACCGGATTGGTCGAACAGTTCGTAGATCAAAGGAGCGGCGGCATCGCTCTGAGATAGCCTGTATATATATATTTACCTGTAATCTACATCCCACTCTCACGGAAACCGTACGCGCCGTGCACCGCGACATACTAAAGCCGCCGGTTTTGCAGATACAAGTGCGAGAAAAATGACGTGCCCATTACGGTCACGAACGGATCGACCTTGCCGCTCGTGGAACGACAGATCGACGAGGAGGCCGCCCTTTACGACCCGTTCGAGCACCGAAAGCTTGCCCATCCCACATCGGACCTGGACACGCTCATACATCTGCTCAAGGGTAGCCTGGGTACAGGCATACTCGCGATGCCGATGGCCTTCCGTAACGCCGGCCTCGCCTTCGGGCTCTTCGCCACTTTTTTCATCGGCGCGGTCTGCACCTACTGTGTCCACATACTCGTCAAGTCCGCCCACCGGCTGTGCAGGCGGACGCAGACGCCCAGTCTGGGCTTCGCCGACGTGGCCGAGGCGGCTTTCTTGGACGGGCCAGAACCCGTTCAGAAATACGCCAGACTCGCCAAGTAAGTGTAATCGCGCCCGAATAGAAGAATGTTAGGGAAAAAGCTAGTCGCTAGACAGAAACTGGACAGTTTTTACTTACAGTTTTTACCGGTTTGAATTGATTAGACAGTAACTACTCAGAAATTAGAGATAAAAAAAAACTGTTATTTCTCGGCCGGTTACTTGCCATAAAGTATTCCAAAGAAAAAAATAGTTAATACTGAACAGTTTCTCTCCAGCAAAAATTCTTAAAATTCTGCTTAGTGTTTCTTGGCCATTTCCTAGCCAGAAATTTGGCAAAATAATAAATAAATGGAATGCTCAAAATCTTATTAGGAACTGGTCAGAAACTGGCTAAATTTACTATCCGATTATTGTCGAAGCAAAAGTCTTCCAAACTTGTAAGTTTTTGGCCGGTAAAACTGGTCGAAAACTAGCTAATTAGAGAATTATTGGCCATTTATTGGCTAGAAACTGGTTTAATTTCTACTTGGGCGGCGGGAGACGCCGCGCTACGTTTCACCGGGGATCCGGTAGAAATAAGCCGGAAGAAATCGCGCGGAGATAACGTTATTCTTCGAGCATAAAAAAAAATAGTTAATCATGGACAGGCTCGTCAGGATTAGGTGTGTAATTTTCCTCCGAGATCTTCGTGCTCGAAGCTTCACAGAAGCGAAGTTTTGATGCAAAATATTCGAAGATCGAAGTCCTTCGGAGCTCTAATTTTGGAAGTTTCAGTCTTTGAAGTTCGACATGTCGGAGATTCGCGTACTTGTTATGGAAACGGGAAAATTTGTTACGGAAACCACCCTTTGTCACCTAACACCATATTTCATGGTACCATCATATCCCAGATTCTTTTGTTTGTTTATTGAGGGTTAAATAATTGCATTGCATGCAAAACCATCTCGATTACATTTCTTGGATTTCGTAGATAACAAAATATAAAAAATGAAGTATTACATTATATAAATTAAAGAAGATTGTTTACAAAGCTATGCTTTTATTTTCGAATATGAATATCAATATCAATATCAAGGAAAATACCAATGAGCATTTACATATCAACGATCTGTTCTATCCTATACTTCACTCATTTTTCCCGTTTCTGAAACAAATTCGTAGGCCTTCGAAATTTCAAAGCTTCGAAATTCGAAGACCGAAACTTCGAAGTTTCAACATATAAGCATCGAAATTTCTTCGAAGTTGACTTCAAAGCACCGAACTGTCGAAGAGTAACAGGTTCTAATCAGTAGACCCTCCGTTTTGTCCATCACGTCGCTGTGTCACGCGTCCGATTGACTTTCAGGGCGACGATCAACACGTTCCTGGTGATCGATCTGGTGGGCTGCTGCTGCGTGTACATCGTCTTTATCTCGACCAACGTAAAGGAAGTCGTGGACTATTACACGGCGACGGACAAGGACCTGCGGATCTACATGGCCGCCCTGCTGCCGTTCCTCGTCGTCTTATCCCTCGTGAGAAATCTCAAGTTCCTCGCGCCCTTCTCAATGGTGGCGAACGTACTGATCGCCACCGGTATGGGGATTACTTTCTACTACATCTTCAGCGATCTACCCGCCATCGACGACGTGCCGAATTTCTCGAGTTGGTCGCAGCTACCTCTCTTCTTCGGCACCGCCATCTTCGCACTCGAAGGCATTGGCGTTGTAAGTATTGCATTTTACGATCCTACGGTCTTTCGCCCCGTTCGTCTCGAATTCTCAGCGTCGTTCACGGTGACATCAGAAGTCAAGGTGAAATTACAAGTTGAATCTCGATCAGGGTCGTTTGTACCGTAAATCACCGCGGAGAAATAGATGTCACGATACTGCGCGCGATACAAAAGCAACTTTGTATTCAGTTGTCGGACACGTTCGAGCATTTAACGGTCACGTTCGACGGTCACGGAATACCAGTTCGCGTAAATCCACGCGGCACGCCCTCGTTCGCGCGGAATGCGTTAACGCGCGAATACATCCGCGCGGCATTGACGTCAGTTTGACACACGTGACACCGCTTTAATGCGTTGCATAATTTTCCGCTCGCTCGCTCGCTCATGGTTTTAATTCGCCCGCATCTGTAATTTTTCTCTCTCTCTTTCTATCTCTGTCCCCCTCCTACTCTCTTAGGTAATGCCGTTGGAGAACAATATGAAGACGCCGACGCACTTCATCGGCTGCCCGGGTGTCCTCAACACCGGCATGTTCTTCGTCGTGCTGCTGTACAGCACCGTCGGTTTCTTCGGCTACTGGAAGTACGGTGAGAACACGAAGGCCTCCATCACACTCAATCCGCCGCAGGACCAAGTGCTCGCCCAGTCCGCCAAGGTTATGATCGCCGTGGCGATATTCCTCACCTACGGCCTCCAGTTCTACGTGCCCATGGAGATCATCTGGAAGAACCTCAAGCAATACTTCGGCTCGCGACGATTGTTCGGCGAATACCTCCTGCGTATATCACTGGTGATCTTCACGGTATGCGTGGCGATTGCCATCCCCAATCTCGGCCCGTTTATCTCTCTCGTTGGCGCGGTGTGCCTCTCGACCCTTGGTCTCATGTTCCCGTCGGTGATCGAGCTGGTGACCGTGTGGGAGCTGGAGAACGGCCTCGGCAAGTGGAACTGGCGGCTTTGGAAGAATCTCGCTATTATCTCCTTCGGCGTGTTAGGCTTCCTCACCGGCTCGTACGTCAGCATTCAGGAGATCCTGGAGGGCAAATGAGGCGCGCTGGGCCCGGCGCGAGGAACGGCGGCCCACGGCGGCCGTTCGCGAATACCGCACGTCATCCGACGCTAATACCACCATATCGGCCCCTCGCTGCTCGACACCGCGAGTAGCTTTACGGATGACGGCGCGCTCGACGCCTCGAAACAGGGCGAAACAAAATGGTCGTCGCGACGTCTACACGACGACGACGGCGGCGGCGGCGGCGGGGACGACGGATACGACGCGATGTCGACGAACGCTCCCCTCTCCCTCCCTCCCCCTCTCCCCCTGGAACCGAGTCGCTCTCCTGCGTGACTCCCGGTTCCCGTATCCTTCCTATCACGATAGCACGATGACAACACGACGACGACGACGACGGAGGCGACAAAGGGCAGAGCTTTCGCGTGGTCGAGCTTTCATCTACGCTTCACTTTCTTAATGGTAGACAGATTGTTAATTAGTACGCGCATTTCGTACGGCTGACGAGGCGCGAGCGCATACGGTCGATATATGATACCCGAATGTGCGAAATGATCGTATAATTTCGATTATTAATTTATCTTGCGCGAGATAACTGCACGATATCCGTTATTCGATTCATCTGTCATTCGAGCGGGTGGAATCCATCGATCAGCGGTAAAATGATAATTCGACCAGCAGGATGAACCGTATTATATTAAGTTGATGCAAGAGACACGTCGTCAGGATTGGAGACGCAGTCACGCAAAGTTTCAGTGTGATTCCTCGTAATCGGGAATGTTACATTTGCGGATTAGCATCAACTTGGATATATTTCCATCTAGATAAAAGATCTTTATCTCACTCATCGAGAAGAGAAATATCGAACCTCGTAGCCCAAAATTGACGCTTGATAAGTGGAAAATCTCCAAGTGTACAAACACTCCTTGCACGGGCCTAATTTTTATTATCTTCTTGTTTATTAAGATTTTGTCTTTCCAGGGTCTCTCGACCGATCGATCGGTGAGTGTTCGACTTAATTTAACTGTAATTACATGCACGAGGGGACTAAATTAGAATTCGCGATCTGCGAATTTCCGCCACGATGTTCTACCCAGGCTAAAGTTTCCACGCTGAATATTCATGGAAATTAACATTTTTGCTTCTCTCTCTCTCTCTCTCTCTCTCTCTCCACTTTACTTATTCGTGTCGCGTCGGCCGTACGCGCGCAGCTTCTTCGCGGACTCCACAACTGCGGGACGGTTTTTGGTTTAGAATAGCGTACGCGCGATACTTCCTGGTCGTACGTTAACTTGGCCGTACATATACATACATATATATATGTGTGTTCATAAGACACACGAAACATCGCGGTTTTGTTGATGAGAAACGAGAACCGTACGCCTCGGCTATTGCGCTCGCTCGCTTCGAATTATCACGATAAGAGGACGATCTGTAAGATACTGCGTTTCGCCGGGAGAATGCCGATCGTGCGTGACATCGTCTTCCTTTTACAATCAGGTTGCAGTGTATATTCCTACTTGTGTTTTCACAGCTGCCGGCTTGAAACAGATTAATCGGCCTACGACACGGTATTATTATTCCGCAGATTACACAATCTTAAGACAGGGAGAACCCATGGATTCCCGATTCTTTTAAATCGATCTTCTGCAAGAATCTGCTTCTCTCCGCGCCAAATCGATCGATTTGTATTTGAATTGACACTTAATTAATCCGGCAGCAACCCCTATCTCGTGACGACGCGATCAAATAACGATCGGGAGACGGTAATCTCGTCAGATGTGACGATCGATCGGCGTGCTTCCCGCGAAAACCGTTTGATCTGTTCCTAGTGCATGATGCACAAAATCGTACAAAGATGATTAATTCAGTAAGAGTAGTAGGCAGAAGGGTGCGTAGGTGTAGTAATGTCGTGATGCACGCTTGCTAGTCTGTAAGTAAGATCGCGATACACTGTTTCGCGCGCTGTCTCGCCGGCGCGCGAGACAAACGACGTCAATTGGTCCCGTTGTCGGAAAAACGGAGGATATCCGTTTAACCCTTAGCGTTAACCAAAGGGGAAGCCGAGTCGAGGAAGTAGAAGACGAATATTATTCGAATGTTCGCTGTCACATTCATCCATCGGCTGAGGGTAAAAAGTAGAGGAGAAGAAAAACAAAACAAGATTTGCCAAAATTCCTATCTTTTCTAAGGAATGTCACCACCAAAATAGGGAATCGCGAGTGAAAATCCAATTTTCTTGTCCGCAAAAACGAAAAGAGCTATCCAGCACGGAGCTGTTGACAACTACCTAATTTGATGAGACTTGTGCCTTTCTGCGTGTTCGATAATTAGCAATAATCTCGATTTATACGTCTTCGGAAAAACTGTGAATCTTCGTAGGACACGATGCAAACGAGAAGACTGCAACAAGCAACTTTTCTACGAGAGAAATTTCCCTACACCTCATTTCTCGTGTGTGTACATTGGTCTTTGTTACGTCAAAAACACACATTCGCTTCGAAGGCAGTATTAAATTAGGGCTTGCGCAAAGCCTGTTTAGTGAGATCTGGTTCCGCGTCGTTGCAATTCTTAACTCTTTACAGCGATATATCGTGAGACATATCCTGCGCATTAACGTCCGGCAGTTTTCACAAAATAATTTAATCTGACAAGCAACCGGAGATAATAACGAGTTCATTCGACGCGTAAATGACGCGTGTAGCCGTCGAATGAAAACGTCACGCCTCTCTCCGTAAAGAGTTAACACGATGACGATGAGCCGCCGCGATTCGTCCTCTTTGAAGGCCAATTTACATCGTCTAAGCGCGAGTTACATTTTTCAAAGGAACTCTTCTTTTCTAAGAATATACACACACTCGACAAGAATTACTATACTACAAAATACATATTGTTCCGTACCGTTTCGATGATGCGCCGTCAATTTTCCACGGCAAACTCATGGCATTTACACGGCCTTTTTGATGAAAGATCATCGGTTTCGCCTGAAAGAAAGATACCGGACTAAATCATCACAGGTCCTGTTTTTTTGGAGTCCTACCAAGTAGGATAAAGAGAATGGACGCGCAGTACGTAAGCTGTATCGCTGTATGATTTTTGTAGTATGCTCGTTTGATAATTTAGGGTTTTATACGAGAGAACGTAGAGAAAAATGGAAACGTTCGTTATCTCGTCGAGACCTCTCGTCGGGAATTGCCGACCGATGCACGGCGATTATTGCCGTTCTTCCGTTTTTATAGAAAGAAGGAATAATATATATATGTATATCTGTCGATTAGAGCGTGTGCACTCGTGCCTTTTGTAATCATATATACATACACACACACACACATATATATACATACGGAATCTTTTTCTCTATCTAATGATATAGATTTACGAAACGTGTAGAACTGTTTGTTAAATAAACCGACGAAGTAGGATATTCCAAAAAGATGATTATACCGCCAATGTACTCCTTAATTTTGCTCTTACATGAACCAAAAAAAAAATCGCCATTCATATTCATGTTTCAGCCACTCGTGGCATAATAAACACGTTCGTGCGCCTGTCCGAAGCAATAATTGCCGTGCAAGTGCCATCATCATTCTATACGCGCAAGCAATATTGTGCAAATTGTTGATTGGTCGGTCATCCTACATATATTAAATCTTTTACGAAATTTAATATACGATTTACGAAATATTGTCTATTTACTTATATCTTTTTTAAATTCTCCAAACAAACAAAAAAAAATGAATAAAATATGATTCAATAAAACGATTCAACACGACTTTCTCTTTCTCTCTCTTTCGTTCCGAAATTACGACATTCTGTGCACAAGATAGTAAAAAAGAGCTGTAAGTTTAGTATGCGAAACGGGTAAGTAATCTCGCAATTACGCAATGTTGCGCAATACGCGAATTCCGGAAAATCGCTTACTTCATCGTTAACGTTAAGACGGCCTCGATCTGATTGTCGCGTAACGCAATAATGTGAAATTTGTGCAATGATGAAGAGCAAAGTGCGCAGTATGGCGGGGATATGAAAGGACAGAATGACTTGAAGATATCGCAAAGCGCGCGTCAACAAATGGGTGCGTAATAATACAAACGAATACATTTTTTTTCCTTTCTCCACGAGAAAATGAATCGTTGATAAGTTTCGATAAAAAAAATTCCCAACATGTAGACTCATTCATGTAATTGGACGCTTGAACTTGCGCGCGTATATATTTATCAAGCATAATTTAACTCGTCAAATATTTCATCGAATTGATTAACATTCGTTAACATATCGGGAGCTATAATTGGCAATGTGGCACGTAACGATAAATTCCGCAAAATGATGTGACTTTCTCTTTTAGTTCAGCCGAACTTTTATTTCGGAAAGAGAATAAGAAAGCGGCGGAAGGCGCAGGGGAATTTCAGGTTAAATTGTCAAGAAAAATAGTTCTTATTTAATCAGTCGTGTTCTGATCGTATTCTAATTTCGTACCGTCGATGGAATTTATCAAGAAATTCTAACAAATAAATAATAAACATGAAATATAATTTGTCTCACCTAATAATAAATCGCGTCTCATATCCAGCCCAATACCGGATACCGCAGATATTACGATTCAGTTTGTCGCACTTGCGCAATAAAGCGGATTGGTCAGGGAACTTTCAAAGTTCCCAACATTCTACTCACGAAACAGTAGAGTAACATTTCTCTATTCTCTATTTTTCTATATAACCAGATACAATCTATATAACCAGATACAATCGACCATTCAATCTCCGATAATGATAATCATATATTTAGCTTATATCGAATCTCTTTGTAAGATATAAAACTTTCTTATATTATGCTTCGTCGAAAATAATTAAACAATTACTTGAAAATTTATTAGTCAAAGAGCACTTCTTGAACACCAGAGTGCGCTTCAGTACCAGTGAAATAATACCCGTACCAAACTTCAAATTAGGATTAAAATTGGATTGAAGTTCAACCAATCAGGACAAAGTTCACTAAATTCAAGTTTAGTGAATCTTGCTCTGATTGGCCAAATTTTAATTCAATCTCAATCCTAATCCATAGTCTGATACAGGCTTTATGGCTCTCGCAACCAGCGCGATGTGCAACGCGATATGCGACGCGCGACATCCAATGAGCGTACTGCTTTTCCACAAGACTGCACGCGTGTCGCGCATCGCGACGTGGTCTAAATCCAGCCCTACATGTAAACTCTAGGTGGCTCTTGATTCGTGTTACAAAATGGCTGAATCTTCAGCAGTATTTCTCGAGTAATAACGATGACAAGTGATATGCTGCAACGATTGTAACAAATTAGTATCTCATTGAATATCGGCCGAGATAGTGTAATAAGAACAAAGAATTGCAATATGTTGAACGATGTGCCGAAAAGATTACCAAAACGTTTCGAAAGTACAGAGGTACGTAGACATTCGCGTGTATCCCGCAAATTCATTAAATATCGAAGATATTTCGAAATTAACATTAAAATTAGAATACCAAGTGTAGCTATATGCTATAAATTATTATTTTTAATAAATTATGTGTATTTTTCTGCTGCGTGTATAACATCGTGGCTCCATCTGTTCGAGACCTTTTTCGCGGTAATTTAAATGAGTGTCTAAAGATGAAAATATTATGAATGTCTTTTGAAATGAATTTTCAGGCTGACGTGCGCGAGGATGAGGAACAAACTACTAAGTTTCAAGAGATTATCGATCTACTCGTTGCAGCCGGCTACTTTCGAGCACGGATAAAAGGTTTATCTAATTTTGATAAGGTCTGTGAGTTATTTTTAATTTTTATTTTCAATATGCATGTGACTTCTGAAACATACGGTGGATTTAATTAGGTGGTTGGTGGCATGACATGGTGCATAGAATCATGTAATTTTGATGTCGACGTGGACTTACTTTTTCAAGAAAATCTCACAATTGGTCAGAAAATGTAAGTGTTATCCTATAGATAGATTAAAACATTTTATTAATCAATTCCTTGATACACACAGAATGCTGCAAAAGTATATAAATAGTTTTTTTACTTATAGACTGAAGATGATTTTTATGTATTTTATGAAATATATATTTGCAGCTCCTTGACGGAAAAAATTGTAGCCATGCTTCCTAAAATGAATTGTCCATATCGGATAGAACCACATCAAATACAAGGTTTGGACTGTATTCACATATTCCCAGTTATTCAGTGGCTGGTGAAGCGTTCCATGGAAATGCGACAGGAAATGGCAGGCTTTGTGAGATCTTTTGCTCTAAATCAGTTTCACAAGAAACATTCATTCAGCGAGGATTCCGAGATTGGAACGATAGCTAGGGAAAATATGATTAGAAATTTATGTTCAGTCAAGGTACAATTTCTGTTATGAGCACGCAAGTGTGCGGCAGACATACATGATATTGAATGTCTGATTTATTTCAGAAAGCCTATGAACCTCGACGTTTTTTCAGACAAAAAGAGGGTTTAGTGAAAGATGAAAACAACAGGTTTATTGGTACAGTGTTGGAGTATGAAGCACCTTTCGATGCTGTTAAAAATACAACCGCGACCACAATATCGACATCGGTAGAACCTAAAAGTGGTGATCTAAAACACGAGTCGAGTAATGAAAAAACTGAAAAAGTATCATGAAATCATCTTTAAATTTACATTTTTATCGAGTAGTATTTATATCAGAAAAATTGATATACGCATTAATATTTTATAGAGTACCACCGAAGAGATTACAGCTGCTTTAGCTGTCATAGAAGACAATTCGGTACGTAGAATTTATATATTTTCACTTAATTTTAAAATTAAATATTGGCGGTTACGATTATAATACGATATGATATGATTAACAATTACGATTATTATTCAGGCGCGTTTAAGTGTGAGCACAGTTGGAAATATCGTTGGCATACAAGCACAGGAGATTGCGAAAGTGGCAGAAAAATATGCGGCCATGTCTACTTCTGAAGTGGAGGTAAACCTTCGTGTGTTATATGATTGAAATTCGCAACGATATTAATGCATCCTTATACGAATATAGGATAGTGGCACAACCGATTCATCGCGTGCTCTGATAGCATTGCAGAAGCAAAAGTCAACGTTACAATCCAGAGCTCGCAAATTAACAAAAGAAAAAGACAGTTTGTCGGATAAACTTACCGAAATAGTAGAAAAAACGAAGGAATGTCGTGCGAAGAGAGAAGCCATTGAACGTTCGTTCAAGAAGATTCAAGAAATTGGAATTAATGATAATAATAGGTACTTAGGAATAATAGAGATAGTCGGACGATTGATACATTTATTATGCACCAATTAGTGATGCGTCTTAATAATTCCGTCCTACTTCTAGCGTTTTCAAACGATTGGAGGAACTTCTTTCCGTACATGACGGATTGAAGGAGCAGGAGCACAATTTCCGAGAGCAATGCAAGTCGGATTTGAATCTCCTTCGAGATATGTTACAAGAGATCGAGGATGGTGCTCCGGAGGAGGAGGAGGATCGCGTCAAGGAATACGAGGATCAGAAGGAAGCCGTGACGCGAGTGCGACTGCAGCTGGCTAAAAAAAATAGAACTATCGCGTCGTTAACGAGGCAATTGGACGATGTTCCGGGGCGCTCGGAGCTGACGCAGTATCAACGACGTTTTATGGAGCTCTATAATCAAGGTTAATTAAATTCGCTTTTTTATATATTCGCAAATATATATCCGATATCATTCTAATATAATTAGCGACAAATTCTGACTATATAAATATCATTGCAGTCTCGGCCAAGCATAAGGAGACCAAACAGTATTATACATTATATAACACCCTCGATGATACGAAGCTGTACCTAAGCAAGGAATTGTCACTGCTGAACTCCATTCAGGACAATTACAACGAGTATGTATCACGCATAATAATGATATCAAAGTAGTCGTTAACGTTAATTAATAATTTTATTAATGTAACATTTATTTGACGGTAGGGCTATGGCTTCGGCGAGCGGCAAGGAGCAATTCCTGAAACAGTTCGAAACAATCGTTGCCGGAGTGAAACGCAACAAAGCTATGGTAAACGTGAAAAATACACCGTTATCTAAAAACTTGACCGACAAAGCGACTCTTTGTTCAGGTGGAGAAACGATGCGCCGACGAGAAGAATCGCCGAGACGCGCTGAGTCGACAACTCGTTACTCTCGTGGAACAACAACGTAAATACGTCGCGGCGGTCAGACAGCTTACCATCGAGTGTCGTAAAAATGAGGCTTTGTTGGCTCAACTCCGAGGTCCGTAGATATCCGCTCGCGTTATTGGCGGAGATAAAGCGCCTTTCACGCTAGCTGCGAAGTGGCTACCACCATTTATTTATAGCGCTTGAGAAAAGTGATGTTTCCGACAGTTTAAATGTCTTTAAGCTACACAATGTACCATATGATATAATTTATACTATACGATATAATGAGAATGTAAATATCTTGCGTGATACGCAATTTCACGTATTTGTACGTCTCGATGCGTGTACGCTCGGATAAGAAGGGAAAATTAAATTATCCCGTTTTGCCATTTCGAACGCATTTCACATATTGTAATGCCCTGTACTATCCTCCGGATGTAAGCGTATGTATTTCTTAGCTGCCGCAGAGATGTTTATAAAGCATGACGCAATTGCTTTCAGCGCGCAGTATTGCGTATAAGACGGCGTGAATTAAAATAGTAGTTGCTGCCCGAGTCACATGACTTCGAGTTTTATTGAAGTACACATTGATCCGTATGTCATACGTGTGTGTGTGTGTATGTTGGAACAAAGCGGCCTGATCTCGATAATAGACCACCGCCGCTTGCTCGTATATTTTTTCCCTTTCTCGCGCGATCCCTCGGCTTGCTGGCCGAGCGCGATAGCTTCGCAAGGTGCATTTATGCGCTTGCAGTTGGACACGATGCGCACACGCTACGTGACGTAATCGCTTATAATATACGAACACAAAGCTCGAGCTTCTTATGCTCACGCTCACTGAATTTTACTCTCAAACAATAGAACTAGATAAAAGTGGGATACAGGAGCACCTTTCTACATGCACTCTCGCAAATTAGAAGTATTTAATCGCTAACTCACTCTCGCGTTGCACACACACACACACACCTGTTGCATTCTACGGAAAGCGAAACGCTCCGGTGAAAAACGGAACTCAGTTGCTGCGCGATATCTTGCATTATCGCGCTTTCTGCCGTTTCGTTTTCGTGCGGACGGCCGTCATACTTCTAAATAAGTCGTATCTGACGGTTTGACAGATGCTGACGTACGTGAAAAATTGAATCTAGGATTAAAAGTGGAAGTAACATAGGTCATGGTGCGCGTCTGCTAGCTTGCTAAGCCGCGCATGCGTCCGTTCGTCCTTCCGTCCGTCCGTCCGTCCAACTGCACCTGCACATCACACTGGGTTAGCGCCAAGCCGATAGTATTGTTTCCGGCACTGCCGTTGTGGTCACATGCGTGTTACCTCTCTCTCTCTCTCTCTCTCTCATCTTCTTTACATTTACCGTGAGGTGCTATTGATAGTCGATGCTGGTCGATGCTGTGTGCGAAGTCGCGATTGCGAGACACACGGATGATCGAACGGCGCGAGGAAGAACGTGCGTGAACATGAGATTGTGCTCGCTCGACCAAGATTCGCCTGGTGTGCTCGTTGTCGGCTCATCCCTCTCGTTCGTAAGCAGGCGATACTTTTGGCGTGCTTGCTGAATTCCGAACGAGCGAGCGAGGGAAGCGAGTGTGCGCGTTCCAGCGTGTGTGTGTATATTTTATGATCTGCCAAGCCGTGTCAGACAGGCTGCGGAAGCGCGAAGCATGGCGAAAGAAGAAGGGGACGACGTATTGCCGGACAAGGACGCGGCGAAGGGATTCTATGCTAAGTACGAGCCCAAGGAGATCCTAGGAAGGTGTGTCTCCATATCGTGTTTTTTATTGCTACTATTAAGTCGTGCCCAACTTGTTCGATGATATTTGTATATTATTTCCGTGTTGTGTGTGTGTGTGGCGCCAGCGATCTTGGCGAACGAGTGTACGAACTCGCGATGGTTCCTTGTGTTGACGATGACATTATATAATTAAAGTGAATTTCGTGAGGTCGTTCGTGCGAATTGCCTCACACAAGCGTTGCGTTATTTTCTTTCAACGAAGGCCACGTCAAATTTCACGGATTAAGCTTGGATTTTTCCCACGTATATTTCAGAGGAATATCTTCCACTGTGAGAAGGTGCATAGAAAAAGAGACGGGTGTAGAGTACGCAGCTAAAATTATAGATATTAGCAACGAGACTCACGAGGATGGGATGAAGGACGCCACGCTGCAAGAAGTGCAGATACTTCGCAGAGTAGCTGGACACCCGTACATCAGTAGGTTCTTCACTTTTCTTGCTTTTCTTTTTGAAAGTACACATATCGATAAATATTACAAAGTTAACATGATGTTGGGCTTCTCAGTAAGTAAGGTAATGTTATTTTCCCTGTATTTCCAGTTGAATTGCACGATGTCTTTGAATCTAGTACATTTATATTTTTAATTTTCGAACTGTGCAAGAACGGAGAGCTATTCGATTATCTCACGTCTGTTGTGACACTTTCTGAAAAAAAGACACGTTACATTATGAGGCAAGTGTTTGAGGGACTCCAGCATGTGCATAACCAAGGAATAGTGCACAGGGATTTAAAACCCGAGAACATATTGCTCGATGATAATTTGAATGTAAAGATAACAGACTTTGGCTTCGCCAGAGTACTGAAGCCTGGGGAGAAATTGTACGGTGCGTTTTATTTTTCTCTATGTACGAATAGCTGTGTGATATGAGATGTGAAATCTTCTTTGTTAATTTATATACACTTTTCTCGCAGATCTTTGTGGTACACCTGGCTACTTGGCACCAGAAGTATTAAAATGTAATATGTTTGAGACTGCAGAAGGTTATGGATTCGAAGTTGACATGTAAGTTTCATTTTTACTATTACATGGGTGTTGTATTATTATTTCATTATCTGTATAGATATTATTTTGCATGGATCTAAATGTAATTACAAGTACGCCGAACTTTTTTGTCCGTTCTATTGTCATCAATTTTTATGTTTATGATGTGATAGATGGGCCTGTGGTGTGATTATGTTTACGCTATTGGTAGGCAGTCCTCCATTTTGGCATCGGAAGCAAATGGTTATGCTTAGAAATATAATGGAAGGAAAATACTCATTTACATCTCCCGAATGGGCTGATATAACGGGTGGGGTGAAAATTATACATTACCGATAAAAACGTTTATTTTAAGGAACAATGTCTTGAGTAATCGTGAAACATAAATGTTATATGTTTTCTTTATTCCAGAGGCTCCAAAAGATTTGATAAGGAGATTATTAGTCGTTGATCCTAAAAAAAGAATTTCGATAAAAGATGCCTTAGAACATTCTTTCTTCCATACTGTCGTAAGTATCTTAATACTATACACAATAACAGGTTCGTCGACATTTGTAACTCCCACTTTAAGATGAGAGTAAATTTAATTTAAAAGATCCCTTCTTTAAATAACCAATGCATATTTTATACACTATGTTTCAATACGGAATTAAAATATCTTGCCATTAATTTGTTTGCTTTCTTTGTTTTTGCTCATTATGTCTTCATTTAAAAGTATGCCTGCAGCCATCTCAATATATAAGCATTTCTAAATAATTATTGGTATAATTTATACCTCATTGATTATCCTCAACTTGAAATATATTACAGTTGGGATGATTCATCAGCCATCATTGTATTTCAGTATTAAGATTTATAAGATATAAATTAATGTCAATAATATAGCACCTACTTTTTATCCAAAAATTATAACAAATATCCAAAAATTATAACATGCACAAAGAATACAGGTGGAGGCAATTGCACAGGAAATACTTATATTTTTCCATCATTATACATTGGTGTATAAATATGGGATTTTTGGAAAAGTGTTGTATATATTTAATCATATAATTTTTTTTTTTTATTTTCAAGTATTTTAATTGATCAAAATATATACTAACAATAATGGCAAATATCATTCGATAGATTATAATATGCGCGATTATGAAATAAGTAGAGTAAGTAAAGTTAGTTGTTGGCCTTACAGCTATGGGATCAAGACATCGCTCCTCTAAAACGTTCTCTATCGTCTAACTCGCGACGTCTGAGTAGGATATCTCAGTTAGCTTTGGTAAATTACTTTCTTTTTATTTTGTTCGGTGACAAGCATAAAATGTGCCGATTATATTTTATGTGACAGTTAACACTTATAGTGCTTTGAGAAATATTTTCACTGATTTTATGTGGAGGATTATGTGAATACATATAAATATTTTATCGTAGTAATTTTTATACTGTTAGTTTTTAATTGTAGTAGGAAACATTTATACCCAATTCATTATATTTCACACGTTGTTTAACATACATTCTTCCTCTTAAAGTTATCATCTATTTTTATTTTACGTATTCTTACACGGCACTTTATTAACAAATTTCTATTCAATATTTGCATATAAATATTAATACTTCTGCTTCCTGTCATTTGATTTTTTGTCATTAATATTCAATCTCACGTAGTATTGTAACAAAATACTTTGTGTTTTATTAAACAATCTAATGAGTAAATGATAATAATAACCCTTTCTAGTGCTAATATATAGCAATGTAGGTGACTTGTATTAGTAAATTGTGATAATAATGATTTTTTGTTATTCGCTGACAATTTTATTACGCAATCTTCATTTCTTGCATAGGAATTGAAGGCAAAGTCGTTCAATGCACGGAAGAGATTCCAGTTGGCAATCATTTGCGTACGGGCTGTTATCCGTATTAAACGGCTTCATAGCACACCAGAACCACTTTCCACACAGATAGTCTGTACTGATCCGTATAGAATAAAAGTTCTGCGAAAGGTAATTACGTATATTATGTAACGGTATGGATTATATGTACTCGATGGGGACATTTATATTTCCTTGTAGGTAATCGATGGCTGCGCGTTCCGGGTCTACGGACATTGGGTGAAGAAAGGCGAAGGTCAAAACCGCGCGGCACTCTTCGAAAATACGCCAAAGACAGAATTGAAGCACCTATACGTTAGTAACTTAAGTAGATAACTATTACTTTGCTAAATCGTTCTAGTTAAATTTTACCGCTCTAATCAGAATCTCCATGGTCTAATAGTCTAATGAAATACTTTACAAATATATTTGAAATAGTGATCTTTTTTATTATGACATAACAGTTAGGTAATCATTCTTTAAGGATTTTGCTGATCAAGCAAAATTATTAAATTTGTATTTACAAACTGCAGTGTTAATTTTATTATAAACAATCGAGATATCAGCACAAGCTAACATTGCAAGGGATGTATTTCTATATACAAAATACAATATTTGAATTTAAGGGCAGAATGTAATATTTTCTGACAATATTTTTAAATGTATCAAGAATCGCATTATAACTATTCGTTTAAAATAACGTTTTCTCGTTGATATTGAGTCAATTTATTTATATAATTACAGAATTTTCCCTGACAGTATGACCATTTAGCGAAAATTAAGAAAAAGAAATGTTCCATAGAACAATTTTCTTCTCTTTGCGTTATGTACTTCAATCGCACAGCAAAATAGTACTGATAATATTTACAAAAGTTGTACTTTTCCCGTAAAACTACTGTAGTACTTTGTAATATACTTGTTAACATGTTAAATTCTTGCAAAACGTGAAATATCAGGCGTTACTCTGTCTGTGTGTGTTAATATTAGTTTTTATATATTAGTATAATACTTCCAAATCTAGTCATACTTTGTACAAATGAAACTCTTCTAAATTGTGTACATTACAGGTAAATACGCATGACGAATTAAAATTATGAATCAGGCAAGATTACAAGCAAGATTACAAAGACCTATACTTTTTACAAGACTTTGAATATTACAATACCTGGTACAAAAGACATGTTTTCGCAGTGACATGACAGTTTGCAGGTGACATAAACATTAATGTTATAAAATGATCACTGTTTCCAAAGGAAAAAGCAGTTTCTCACGTACATATTCTATCGTACGTTCATCTCTTAGTTTTATATATTTACATACATATATATATATATATATATAAACATGACAAATATGCAAGTTTGTAGTCGCTCGGCTGCATTCAATAGTGCTCAAGAGATGTATTATTATATATTACCGTTTTTTGGACAGTGTGCTTGTATTATGTAATAGGACAATAGTTTTGTATATGAATAAATATACAAATTGCAAATTGTTACGAACGATTGTTTTGCAAGAATTTATTTTATAGAAATAATTCGTGGAAACACGTTTCCCCGGGAACGACGATGAATTCCAATGAGCGTCGATCGCGGGAGCAAAACTCTGTCACGATCAATTAACGAGCGAGTTTTCGCGAAAGGGAAATTAAAAATAAAGCATCTCTCGGCGTGGACGTATTTTTGGCGGCCACGGTGGCCTCACGCGGTGGCCTCACGAGCATGCGCGTTCGCGAAGGTAAACAATGGAGCACAGCTCCGTCCGTCCGTCCGACAGGCACGGCCGAGTAAAAGCGGCAACAGCGCGCGCGCGGCTCGTGCGGCGGCGGCGGCGATCCATGTGACAGAGAAGGAACGTGACAAAAGCTGGCGGAGGGTGACGGCGCCGCCGCCGCGATCGGAGCGCGAGTGTTTGCCCGGGCGAGCCGGGTGTCGGGTGTGCTCCGCGCTCGTCGTCGATCCCTCTCGCCGTGTGTGCGTCCTCCGCGCGTCTCGAGTCGCGCGATGTGAAGTGAGCGCGAGAACGGCTCCCCGGCAGTTCGTTTCTCGCGAACGCGTTGCCCGCGCGCGTGCTGGAGAGAGAGAGAGAGAATCTGCGACGGAGAAAACGGCAACGCCGAGGCAGAGTGCGTGGGCCCAACGGGTGACTGCTGCGACACACACGCGACGACGGCAAGGACGACGACGACGGCGAAGAAGAAGAGAAGGAGGAAGAAGAAGACGACGGCGACGAGGACAGTGTTGATCGACTGATTCAGCCGATCGAGGGATTCGGAGCAACCGACCGACCAGCCAATCGACCAACCGACCCACCGACCGACGGCAGCAGCAGCAGCAGTTTCGATACTTCACTCACGCCCAGCAGGATTGTGCGTCACATGGGCCGCGCTCATTGGTCGATACAGCCGAGTGACGTCACGGACCGCACGGCGATTGGCTCGCGACGCGGTGCCCGGACACGTGAATCGTGGCCGTGCAGGCATGGCAGTTTGATGCGCAGTGGTTTTCAGCACTTGTAAAATGCTACTGCCACGCGCCAGATCGATCAGGTTATAACCCGCGGTTTCGTCGCGCGCGCTCCGAAACGGTCGGTCCGTCGCGCGCGCGTTGTGCTCGCGGTCGTCGAGCGAGAGTAGTAGCCCTCGCGCTCTCTCTTTCTCTCTCTCTCTTTGTCTCTCTCTTTCTCTCTCTCTCTCTCTCTCGCGGCATTGGCTCACCGCGTCGGTCGGCCGCTCTCGCGCCCCGAGACCCGATCTGATCCGGTGGGCCCCGATCTCTTTTGCCGCGCGCGCCCGACAGGATTGACAAATACGCGTGGACACACGGGCGTCGCGTCCGGACAGTGTGCGTGGTGCAGGCAAAGATTCGGCGCTCAGGGACGGACGTGCCGAGGCGGAAGGAAATCGTGTACACCGGAGAGGCAGGAGTGTGTGTGCTCGACGCAAACGTGTGAGTTTCGAATCGTGTTAATCGGTGCGCACACACATCATACACAAACACATACACACACACATACAAAAGGTGAAATAGTATTCGTAAGTTTCGACAAAGGCACCGGAGTGCTCCGGTGCTCCCCGTGCCCCTCTCTCTCTCTCCTCTTCCTTTCTCTATCTTCGTCTACGTCTTTCTCTCTTTCTCGCATTACCACGCCCGTTCGACAGAGAGAGCAACAGGGACGGGGTGAGAGAAGGAGCACGCGCGCGAGACAGAGAGAGAGGAGAGTGAGACAACGGGCGAGTGAGAGGCAGAGAGTGAGAAAGAGAGCGCGAGCGAGCCGCGGACCATTATCTCCTCCGTTACTATCGCCTATTTAATTAACATGTGTATAGAGGTGGTTGCGTGGCGTGTTTTCCGTGCCATAATAGAACGGGCCAATGCGCGACGTCCGACCGGTGACGTCACGGGCCGCCAAGTGCCGCGATTGGCCGGCGTATGCGTGCGTCGGCCGACGTGCGTCCTAACGTGCGTGTCGCTTTGTCAGTTTAAGGAGCTCGCGCGCCGCTTGCGGCGGCACGCTTCCTTGACTGTTCACGAAGACGCGCGTCGCCCAGGCACCGCGTGCTTGCACCTCTCCCTCGTCGTTGTCGCCGCCACCTTCGCGATCACCGCCGACGACGACGACGCTGACGTTACACGCTGCCGCCGCCGCTCCGCGGTGTTCCGCTCTGCGCTACGCCGCGCGTCCTCTCCCTCTCCTCTATTTTCGCGTGCCGACCCCGCGCGTCTCCCACGGAGAATGCGACCGCACGTCGTCGTCGACGCCGTGCGCTTTCGCGATCCCGCTGGCCGAGGTATATACATCTACTTTCCAATGGACACACTATGCTGAACTTCGATATCCCGTTTTGTTTCGTCGTCTTCGTCGCCTCTGGTCACGTGCGGATGAGCTTTTTATTTTTTCTTTTTTTTTAACAGTCGCAGCTGCCAATGTGTTCTCCTCGAGATGCCGGATAATTGGGGCATCACACTTATCGAACGGTCGTACGATTTAAAACAAGTGCGAGAGTACGTGGGTTGACATGCACGTCGAAACGCGTGTTCGTCGAAGATTAAGATCGGACGTCGCAAAAAGTGCCTCGAACGTCCACCGAGAGTGACCCACAGATCTCGTAACTTGAAGAAGTGATCCCCCGATTATTTCGAACGTTGCATTTATTTTTTACTCTGTACCAAGCTAAGTTCCCCCCCCCTCCCTCCCGAAACGACTTTACCGTCTCGACAGTCATTCGTCGATTGTCCCTGCGGGAATATTTCACATGACAGAACAAATTCTCTCTTTACTTTCTCTACGTGCCTCTTCAGTCTGGCTTACGTGATTTCTTACAACGTGACACGCGTACGTTCTCGCGGCAGCTTTTGCGCGCACGCAAACGCCACGTAACGAGACGTTGTCGTCTGTTCTCTCTCTCTCTCTCTCTCTGCCTCTTTTTTTTTCATACGATACGAGCGGCGGAGGAACAGCACGATTCGCGAGAGCCATCGATACGGACTCTGCGATGTCGCGAATTGTTGATTGCCGGGCGGTCGGTCGCTGTTTATCGAGAATCCCGCCTTCCCGCTCGAAGTTATGTATAATAATAATAATACCCGGCTAAGATTCAAACTGACAACGAGAGGCAATTGCTCTTCTACGCGAAAAAAAGCATCAACGTGATTTTCCGACCCAATCGCGGTGTCGCTCGGCCACGTAGATTTGAAACTGCTTGCATTCGCGCGACCTTTCAACGTCAGTTCGCGCGGGGACCCGCCGGTCGACCCGGCGCTTGACGCGCATTTTTTTCGCGAGTGCAATTATCCCGGAGCATTCTCTCTCGCCTTTTTTGAGCCGCCGCCGCCTGGTCGTGCAACGATTCTTGACTCCAGTAAACGCGAGAGAGAGAGAGAGAGAGAGAGAGAGCTCCGGGATGCGTGCTATCGCGCTGCGCTGCAGAAAAAGCCTCCGCCGCGCCTGCGCATCGCGCCGTGCCTGTTCGGTGTGTGTGTGTGCGATGTAGCGCGCGCGCGCGAGAGAGAGAGAGAGAAAGAGAGCAGCGTGTGCGAGTGGGTGGCCAGGGTGGAAATGAGGCGCTTCCCGCGCGACTGCGTTACGTCACGTGCACGTCACGTGACGTACGTCGTAGACACACACCGGCCGTGTCCGCAACGTCCACGACACCTTCCCGAGATAAGTCCGATAAACGCGCAGTTTTCGCGCAACGAGCACTCCCAAACAATGCGGCTAGAGAAAGAGAGAGCGAGCGAGCTGCACTCGAAGATTCCCGATAAGAATCCTTCCCGATACCGACATTCTCCGAATTTACCGATAAAACCGTGTCACGTGGCGGCCGACAAACATGTCACGCTACCCGTCGGCTCGCTCGCCGCGAAGAACGACTGCACCGAGAACGCGTTTATCGGAGTACATCCGGCGAGGTGCCTTAGGTGTCGCTGAAAGCGTTAGCTTCGAATTTCTCGATGGACTCTCGCTGCTTGTTTACTGACGAGTCGGCTTTTTTTGCATGCAGGGTGTCGAGCCCGCGCTCGGGGTGTAGCAGGGGGCGAAGCGGAGGAGGATCGAAGTTAAGGAAAGTCCGTAACCTCCTGCTGTGCTACTGTGAGATCCATCGCTGCCGTCCGAGACCACTGGCGACCGTCGCAAGGCCGGCTCGCCGATGCCGCGGAGCCAGCACGATCATTCGGGCGTCCGTGAGCACGGAGAGTCGACGCGGCAACATCAGCACCATCGTTCTGTCCCCCCCACCTGCCCCGCGACAGAACAACATACCCCGAGCGGGATGAGTCTGGAAACATTGCTGCAAGCGGCCTACTACGTAGAACAGGAGGAGAAGAAGCGGGAGCGCCTCGCCAGCACCTCCTCCTCTTCCTCCTCCGAACAGCACTCGTTCGTGTCTGCGCCACCCCACTCCAATCATACTTACGCCTCCACTACCAGGCCACGTGGTGAGTACCACGCGCCGTTTCCCGGCGACCTTTCAACGCCGCGTTGCGTGTTGTATGTGTGGAAGGAGGAGGAGAGAGAGAGAGAGAGAGGGAGGGGGAGAGACGTGCAGTGGCGTCGCGTTGCATCGCATTGTGTTATGCTGTGACACGGGTCGTCGTGTCCGGACCAAGTGTCTCAATACTCATCGTCGATGCTTCGCGTCGGTCGTAAGTATCGATGCATCCGACGCGAGAAGAACAATCCCCCGGACGGCGATATTTTTCGGCGCGCGGTCGATCTTCGTTCGCGATTCGTCTTTCCGCAAGTGGTTTTATCACGTTCCGTAAAAATCAAAAGTCGAGCGCGTCCACACACGAGAACGGTCTTCCATCGCACGACTGGAACAACGTCGGGGACCATCCGAGGTTTTCTCAAGTTTCTCGAGTACCGAAGCCGGTCACGCGCGCTTGTTGTCTCGAAGACGGGGATAAGGACTCGCGGAGCGAGTGTTGCAAGCGTTTTTCCCCCGCGCCGCTGCATTATCAAAGCG